TCTGAAAAATTACTTGAATACTATATTATTTAATTAAAATCGTGTTTCTGACTATTTTTATAATTACAAAAACAGCTCCAATAATTCACAAAATAATATAAAGACATCCTATTGATTTAATCAAATTTATACAATTATCACACCACGAAAATGCATACTGTATAGTAACTAAATAAATAATAATCTCGAGAAAAATAAATTTTGGCCAATCTTCAATGTTTTTAAAACAACAGGGACTAAACCGCTCATAGTGTAAACATAGGGGAAAAATCAAGATATTTCTCAAAATTACCAAGTCAGTCTTTATATTTTTCGAATATATAGTATTGGTACCTGAACTATTTGATATGCGTCTCACACTTTTGGAGCTCGTATCTCCCTCGTTTGACGTCGAAATTCAATTCCGTCAAAACCGGAATGCTCCTGGGATCGTCCTCTTCGCGATGATACCCACCACTCAAAGAAGGATCGAAGTCGTCTACGCCGGGATCCACGTCGGAGCTACGATCATCGTGTGCATTCATCGGGTTAAGGACAGACGTGATCGAGAACCTTTCCCTACAAATGATGTTGACAGTGGTGATGGTGGCATTGAGGTTGGCGTCCAGGGAAGGGATCGTCGGCGGTTGGCTGTTGCTGCTGTCGTGCGGGTTCTGCTTTTATTGTTCGTTTCTCGTGTGGTTTTCATTTGTTTCTTCTGCGACGCTAGGTGAGAGTGGGAGTGGGGGATTTATTTGATGAATATATATGTGTTTAGGTTGGGGGGGGGGGGGAGTAGGCGACGGGTGAGGGGCGACGCGAAATTCATTATAATAATAATAATTATTATTATAATAATGTTATTACTATTATTATTATTATTACTTCTACTCTATGGTCGAACCTTTTGTACTTAATCGTCGATCTAACTGTTCTGCTGAACCTAGAGCCAAATGTCGGGGTGTTACACTGACACCTTCGCACACCGGTGCGACCGATGCTAGATGTTAGGAACATTTCTGCCTCGGATGAGATGCCCTAGAATGGTCCCGCTCCAGTCTCTCTTTCTTGACTGGTCCACCTTCCAGTCTAGCCAGCATGAAAGGGCTGCAACCACTCGTTGTGTTGAAGCATAAGGTTGCGGAATATGAGTGTTTAGGAATACCTTTACATGGAGAAGTAGGAATTGCTGCCATTTTGCCGTCATTCCATGATGCATGGGACTAGGTACGACCCATAACGCTAGGGTCGACCAACTTTGTTGGTGATAAAGTCGAAAACCAAAATACGATTATGCAGAGTGGTTTATTTTGTCCTTTTTGTCAGGTTTATGAAATGCGATAGAAAGAAGTAAGTATAGACTTTCCAAATTTGGAATCATGGTGCCAAAATGAATCCCAAGCTGCCAATTTTGCGGCCTTTTTAAATGATTGTGCTAAAAAATGCACTTAAGTATGGATAAGCCCCTCTAACAAAACGCAGCAAATTTTTTTATTCAATTTGATCAAACCATCTTAAAAAGGATCGGATGCAACAAAAATAAGAAACTTAGGTCATCTCCCATTGGTACCTTTGTTTAACGTTTTTAAGTTAGAAGCCAGGCATGAGCTGTTTCCCATGGAGCGCTCTATCTTTAATGACCTTGAGCTAGGCGGCCTGGTTGGTGTAAGAAAGCCAACAATCAACCCATTCTTCCTCCTCTTCCTCATGCTTTTGGAAGAACTCCTGAGAGAGAGCATGGAATGGTGCTTCAACACTTGCCGAGATCCTTCTATCTGGGTGGTGATCCCCCTACCTGCAATGTGATCCTTATCTCTGGCATGTCAATGGTGGCCCTTGCTGCCTCGTGAAGGTGCGATCTAAGAGTGCTCCATTCTCCTGGTGTCGCTGAATTTCGACTACCACGAAGTTGAAGTCGAAGATCAAAGGTTCAATGATGACCTCAACGTTTCAGAACACCCCATTGCATCACGGACAACCTATATGCCAATTGAAGGTCTAGAGGCTCGCCTTCTATTTCTCCCCCTCCCCTATTGCTAGGTGTGTAGAAATGGAAATAACATTAGCTCTAGATAGATATCAATAAACACATATGGTATGTAATACCCATTTATGTGCACGAAATGCTTAACCTCCTAATCACACCATATTTGCACATGTTTGTATGGGCATTTCTTGATTGTTTCGCTTGGCATTTGATTACTTTTTGGCTCATTTTATGCTCGGTAGTGCTTGTTGATGATGTTGCAGGTCCTAGTATGTGAATGGAGGTTGAGGAGCAAATCTGCGTACAACTGGAGAGCATATGGGAATCGGAGGAAAAAAGCAGTCAAATCCACGGTCTAGTGTCTGTTTCCCACGACCAGGGATTTATCTGAGCGATCGTGAATTTTGCTATGGGGGCCACTTAGGATACGCATCATTTTGTAAATCCACGGTATGGATGCCGCATCCACGACAGTGGATTCCAACCATGGATTTCAGCCATGGGTCTTATAAGGTTGAAACTCGGTATTTTGACCACATATATGGTTTTGCAAGTTGTGAAACAGCGAGAGAGCACCCTAGAGAGAGAAAGTGATGAAGACCAATCTTGGGAAAGGATTTGAGCGATCCAAGGACATTGTATCTCCATATGTGATCCTCACAGTGATGATTTCTATCCTAGAGCAGACTCTCATCCCTCACATGATTATTTCTCTTTCAAGCTTTGCGATTTCTCTTCTCTCCATGGAGTAAAATCTCTTTTTATCTGGATTTTGAAGAAAACTAGTCGTGTATGTTAGGAATGGTTGTATGAACCCAGTTTTGTGAATGATTGACTTGATATATTCAATTGAGGCATTATATCCGAATAGCATGAGTCCTAATCAAATTCTTGTGATTCCTGATTTAACCTAGAACGACAGTCTCTACATAGGTTAATAGAGAAACCTTAATTGAAATTACTGGATCGATTACTTTAGTCAAGAAATCGATTCACTACTCTGTACTAGAATGGAAACCAGTAGTGGAAGTTTGGTGTGTCAGTGCCTCGGTTAGCTTACGCCAGTGGAGGTTAGTCGTCCGTTGGGTATTTGAACTGAGATGGTCTGGCATTCATTACTCGAGATTTCGTACTTTTCAAGAACTTCCCCCAGTATATCGGTCAATTGAAATGGATTGTGAAATTATAATCTGAACTAACAACAAACTAGGGGGACTCATATCTGGATGACCTTTTGCATACTTGAAACCAAAACATTTTCTGCTTTCTGTTTAGTTTACTTCTGGACACTTCACTCGAACTCAACCTGTTGATAATATATTTGCATGGAGTAGTCATTAAACCTAGGACTCGGGTTGACAAATACAACCTGAACCCTATACTGCATTTCTATACTGTGAATACACTTGGTCATAGATTGTTTGTGTTGGTTTTAGTGAGTCACCTCCCCGGATCATACTCTTTTAAGGTTGACTTTATGAGTAGGTCATGTGGTACATCTCCGGAGGTGAGCACTCGTGTTGCAGAGTTTGGGGGGGTGGGCGGTTCTTCCTTAATGATAAGACTCCTTAATGACTGAACATGTTTTGGCGTTTTTAATATTTCTTCCAGTAGAGCAGAATAAATTCTTCACCGCCCAAGATGGCGAGGATTTCACGATTGGAGTTTGGAAATTTCAATTTTACATCGTTCTTCCCTTCTTTAAAAAGGCGCATGGGGCACTTTTTTCTGTGAATTTGCATCATCCGGACCTCCAATTTCTCTACACCTATTCAGACTTATTGGTTCATCCATACTGACTGAAGCTCTTCCTTAGATCTCCAATTCGATAAAGTGTGCAATAGGGATGGAGGAAGAACCTTTCTATAGGGGTGAGAGCCTTTTCCACAAGGGTTAAAGAATTTGAATGCCTCATCCTTTGCATAGGGGAACAAGTATTCCTTTTTCAGTTTCTTATGGATAAAGGAATTCTATATGAGGTTAGTAGGTCGCTTAGGAAATCATAATCCAATCAATCGGTGTTTTTCTGGGCCTGCAAAAGTTGGCAGCCTAGGCCCAAAATTGGCTCTCTAGGCTGCCAAATACAGTGTCATTTTATTGGTTGTGGATTGGGTAGAAATTCACCCTGCACATCTTTCGGGAGATGATTACCCCGTAATAATATGTGAAAGTAAGATATAATCAGAAGAGGACACATTGCAAGAATGTGACCCACCCGCGGGTATTGCATTTGTGGTCATTCATCTTGCAAAGATGTGCCCAATTCTTGTTAAAGAAGAACTGTTTTTCTACCTTCACTATGGATCCATCGTTTATGGTTTTATCCTCATTTGGAGTTTTTGTTTCAATTGAGGAGATTGAATTCAGTCTCTGCATATGGTGGTTGGGTTATGGACGCCCCATCATAGGTGGGTCTTTGAGTATCCATACATTGAGGTTAATCGACAATCCTGTTAACAGGGTTACAGTTTCCCCACCATTTTGACTGCCAGAGCAACACTAAAAGCAATCTAAAGTTGCCCATCGCACGGATAGCTCCTTCTTGTATGGTCTAGTACACTCCTCCATCGGGATAGCTTGATGACGTATGCAAATTGCCTCATTGTCTAGTGCTTTGGAACTTCACAGATTCTCCCTCAGAGATAAAAGTGTAAGAATTGCTCTGAGTCATCAGTCAATCCATCGAAAAACATATGTGTGAGTTTCATGGGTTTATATTTATGATTGGGGTGGTCATCGATGTACCCAATGTATCACTCCCAAGCTTCATAGAGAGGCTCGGAATCCACTTGCTTGAAGTGAAAGATTCGTTGAGCTAGCAGATAATTTCTCCATGGAGGGGCATAATGCTCGTGAAATGTTTGAACAAGCTCTTCCTAGCAAGGGAAATTCATACCACAAACTTTTAAACAATATCTCAGGGCTACCTTTTAGAGTATAGGGGGGAAAGCCCTATAACTCCATACGTAGATGGTGCTTCGAAATCTTTTTCTGATCCAAACTTATCTGTAGCGTTAATAAATCCTCCTAGACACTATCCCACTGCAATAATACTTGCTAAGAAGAATGCCCATGTTATGGCAATTCCGCCCAGAAGGTAATGGGTTACCCATACAACACGTCCTTGTATAATACTCAAGGCTCTAGGCTGACTAGCAATAGAAACTTTTAATTTATTATGAGCACAAACGATTGATTCAATAAGTTCTTGGGTAAACATGAAAGACCTTAAGATCATTTGGGAGCCTTCCAGACGACATCATAGTTGGGTAAAAGCGGCCAGTTTCTTAGGTGTAGCGACGAAAGGCTGCGACTTCATCAAAGGCCAAATATTGAAAATCTGAAGCATCCATGATCTCTGAACCATTGATGGGGATCCCAAGCAGCAGCAACAACAGTTTCATGTTGATCGTGATCAGGTAGTTGAACACGATACTGGTGAAGGAGGAGGGATGGTATTGAAACAGGGCTTCATGTGTGCATAGAACATGCGAACGGCCTGTGGACGAAAGCTGAAGTGCTGGTTGTGAAGAATACCAGACCAGCCAAGGTTATTGATGAGTGCAGGGTTGTTCATGTCGTACCTATTGAAGCACGACGGATCAAGGTCATTGGCAGGACAGAGCTCTTGATCCTGATACTTGAGCAAGTATCGAGGGTAATCCTCAGCAATGCCAAAGCATTTTCCATTGAAAATAGCTGCTTGAGCTAGCTAAAGCGCCACATGGGGATTAACAGCAGCCATTGGGAGAGGAAGTTTGGTGATAACTGAATAATTTGAGGAGGAGATGAGGATTGAAGGTTAGTGAAGACGGGTTTTATAGAAGGGAATAGTAAGGGTCAAGCTAACAGGAATAAGGAAGGTGAGCCTAGTTAATTAGAAAAGATCGAGAATCAAGAAGTAAACAGGAAGAAGAGATCAATTAAGGCTTTCCTTGATGCTAAAGATCAGGGAAAAAGAATGGATTTCTTTATTTGAGATTTTCCACCTCAGTCCAGGTAAACATCCCTAGTTCTTGACGAATGGTTAGAAAAGTTTCAGAACCTAGGGCTTTGTGAATATGTTAGCCCACTGACATGAAGTGGGCACAAACTCAAGGTCAATCTGACCCTCCTCAACTGAATCCCTAAGAAAGTGACACCTAATGTCTATATGTTTGGTTCGAGAATGTTGGACTGGGTTTTTGGACATGTTAATGGTGCTCGTTTTATCACAAATAATAGGCACAGATCCTAGGTGCAACCCATAATTGAGTAAATGAGTTTATCATACCAGGCTCTAGGGGCTTGTTTTAATCCATACAGAGCTTTGTTTAGTTTGTAAACATGATGAGGATATCTGTGATCTTCAAAGCCGGGGGGTTGAGATACATACACTTCTTCTTTTAGATCCCCATTTAGGAAAGCACTTTTTACATCCATTTGATATAGTTTTAAATGTTTTGAGCTCGCAAATGAACATAACATCCGAATAGCTTCAAGACAGTCAAATTGAGCAAAAGTTTCATAGTAATCTATCCCTTCCTCTTGATTATACCCTTGAGCTACTAGGCGAGATTTGTTCCTAAGCACTATTCCTATTTCATTTGATTTATTTTTATAAATCCATTTGGTTACTATGATTGTTCTTCCTTCTAGTTTCGGGACTAATTCCCACACTTTAGCTCTTTCAAATAGGTCCATTCCTCGAACATGGGCTGAGTCCAATATTCGTCAAGTAATGCTTCCTCAACATTTCTTGGCACAATTAATAACACTAGAGCAGAGACGGTAGGTTCAGCTTGGGATCGAGTATTCATACCTTGGTATAATTCCCCAATTATCTGAGTGGGGGAATGTCTTTTAACGATGTAGGTAGGAGGTAGTTTCTCTGCAGTCTCAGACCTATCCTCAAGAGCAGTATTCGAGCCATTTGGTTGTTCCTGCATAGATTACTTCTTGTTTTTTCCTTCGTTATCCACCGTATCTGTGATCTCAACAGTAGATTCATCAAATATCATTTTAACGGACTCCTTAACCTTGAGATTCCGTTTGTTAAATACTCGACAAGTCTTGCTGGATTCAGAGTATCCCAGAAACACTGATTCATCCGATTTAGCATCGAATTTTCCAAGATTGTCCTTAGTATTTAGAACAAAACATTTGCAACCGAAGGGATGGAAGTATCCCATATTTGGTTTATTTTCTTTACATAGTTCGTAAGGGGTTTTCTTGATGCATGATCTAATCAGGGCTAGGTTTGTTATATAACACGCAGTATTTATGGCTTCTGCCCAGAAGTACTTTGGTAAACCGTAGTCATTTAAAATGGTTCTGGCTATATCGATTAGAGTTCTATTCTTTCTTTCTACTACCCCATTTTGCTAGGGAGTCCTAGGAGCATAGAAGTTATGAAATATTCCCATTTCTTTGCAAAACTCCTCGAAAAGATCAGAAAAGAATTCTACCTCGTGGTCACTACGAATACTATAGACCTTAGATGATTTTTTATTTTCCAGTCGTTTTACAAGAGTTTTAAACTTTGAAAATTTTTCATCCTTTTTAGACAGTAAAATGACCCAAGTGAATCTCGAGAAATCATCAACTATGACAAAAGCATACGACTTTCCACCGTAGCTGACAATATCTGTAGATCCAAGCAAATCTAGATGCAAAAGTTCAAGTACCCTAGATGAAGAAATGGTAGTTTTACTTAAGAAAATAGATCTAGTTTGTTTATCCTTGGCACACTTACATTCACATGCCCTAGTTGACGATGCCATTTTTCTTGTTCACTTTCATCCAGGCTTACGAGACATGTCTCATTGAAACTATTTTTGCCACTAAGATCAAGAGTATAGACTTTTCCAATTCTACTCCTAGTGAGCATTAACTGGTTATTCTTAATGTTGTCAACATAGCAGAAATTAGGTTCAAACACAACTCTATAGTCTTTTCCACACATCTGACTTATGGAAAACAAATTGTGTTTTAGTCCATCTACGAGCATAAAATTTTTTATTGAGGATTTATCCCCAACTTGACCTTTTCCTATGATTTCATCAGCAGTGTTAATGTCACCAAAAAATACTTTTCCAAAATTGCCTAGTTTAAGACTCGAAAAGAGAAGTTTGTTACCTGTCAGGTGGTGTGAGCACCCATTGTCCTTAATCCACTTAGATGTCTCCATGCTCACTTGAAGACATTTATGCCGAAACAGAATTTATATTTCTTTTTTACCCAGATTTTCTTGGCCTACTTTTGGTTTCAAGTATGCAATTACTACTGAAGTGACCTATTTGGTGACATGTAAAACATACAGAATTGCGTTTTCTAGTTTCTTATTTCATTCTTTTTCTGCAATCCCGAATTATATGCCCTGTTTTATGATAGTAGTACACCCTGTTTTATCCAGATTCCTTCCTTCTTATTGTGTCTTATTTTGTTGAGTTGAGAGCTTCTTTAGTTGCTCCTTAAGATGAGAACATTCTATTCGAATTTCATTAGCTTCAGTTGAGCCAGGCTTAGTTCATTTTTAGAGATTTCTTCTCTTGTTGGCTAGTGTCTAGCAGGGTTCTTAATTTTTCTGTCACCTTTAAATTCTGTTCATTATCACGTTTTAACTTGGTATACTTGACTTTAACATTCTCAAATTCAACCTGAACTTCTCTAATGATCTCTTCTAGTGGATCATGACTATTGCAACACTCGGACTCTATTAACTCAGAATACTGAATGCAATGCAATCAAAAGCGCGATTCTACCTTAAAGTAGAAAAGGGGTAAAATCGTAAAGCGTAGAATCAAAGCGTAAAAGCGTAAGTTTTTTACGCATACTGTAAAATAACTAAAAATCTGTTGAGTACGATATATATTATGTAAAATATGAGTGCACAGAATTTGGATAAGTTAATAAATACTTGTAATTCCCATCTAAAGTAGAGCAACTCACACCAGCTTAACAAAAAGTTCATAAACATGATCTTAACAATAAGCCACCTTCCCATCTATGTTAATAAATTTGGGAAAGGCCTAGTTGGTGAATTAGATTACTCAACTAGAGTTGAGAATGCATCCAAGTACCTGGTATGTATCTTTTAATCTAAAATCTATCATACTGTTGGTGTTTTACCTTTAAAATATACTTTTTATAATTAATTTCATGAAGAGAACACCCATTTAGTGAACTAAAATCATAAAAGCATAAAGAGTTTTGGTGAACTAGTAACTTAAAAGCGTAAGCTTTTAAGCTTTCAAACGCAATTTAGTCCGATTTTACGCACTTACGATTTTACATGGAAACGCAAGTGTTTTAGTGACCTAGAAGCGTAAAACCGTAATATTTTAAGTTTTAAAGTGTTATTTTGATTGCATTGAGTGAAAGAGACTTACTTGTTCATTTCTTATGGGTGTCTTGTCCTTTTCCTCTTCAGCGATTGCCATAAAGGATCTATGCACGGTCACTTCTTCTCATCATTGCCTTCGTCTCCAATGCAGCTGCAGGTGGCTGCTCGTGCTTGTTCTTTGCAAAGTTGAGGACATTCTGCCTTTATGTGTCCTAATCTCCCACACTTGAAGCAACCGGTAGAGCTTATTCTCCTTTAGTTGGCTGAGTTTGATCATTCCTGCCCCTGAAGTATCCCTTGGAATGAATGATTTTGTGCCTTCCTTCATTCTTTTCATCCTCCTTGTTCTTGAATGTGAGATCTCCACGACTTCTTTCCTGACGAGCTTTGAGCATTATGCTGATTTGTTTGCTGAGCAGAGCAAGTTCTTCACCCTCCATTTCAGCTAGTTCTTCCGGTTCTTCAGCACAACTAATGGCTCTAAAGGCGTTCCCCTTTTTTCCTTTGTCGTTGCTATGTATAATGGAGCGTTTCTTGTAGATCCAGATGCCATCCCTGAATTCACCGGAGGTTGTTGAACCTTCTTCAAAGGAAACGGAGCTCTGATACCACGTGTTGGTGGAATCTAGCGCGAGATTCCTACGCTGCTTTTCTGATTTTTAGCATGTTAAGAACACTTCTCCATGAACCCTAATTCGTTTTGTGATCGATAGAGAGAAATAATAAAACTGATGAAAGCATAAATGAACTTTGATCGAAATCTAAGTATAGCGTGATGACTAGTTTTGTTTGAGACTAGGCTCCAGTACTGGCTTGAATTCACTCTTCTTTTGGACTTCTATTCGGATTAGTCAATAGTGAGCCCAAGACAGATGGCCCTGTTGAGGTGGGTTTTC